GCAGGAGGATCAGGAGACATATGGTCATGACGGCCTGATGGAACCGTTTGTTTTCAGACAAGTTGGCACCGAGCGTGAACGCGTTTCTTCACGAGCACACGGATGAGCTGACACACTTGTTGCTCAGCTTAAAGCTGCGCAGCGCGCGCACAAACACGCAGAGAACAAACGCACCGACACTCCGCACTTGCTCGTTTTTACGCACGTACCTTGTGCAGTTTCCACATCGCGCCCAGCGCTTTGACCTCGTGCGTGCCGTGCTTGCCCTCCTCCAGACACTGGTAGCACACGGGCATCTTGCACTGCACGCAGTACATGCTCAGGTTCTCCAGCTCGTGCTCCGTGCACGTGGAGATTTTGCGGGGACTGGCCCTGCGACTGATCCGGCCCTGCGCCGGCGGCACCAGGCGGTGCTTGGCGAGCGGCCCGCGCGGCGGGTGGCAGCGCACGCGGCACGGGTCGCAGTAGAAGACGTCGCACTGCTCGCACATGGCCGTGGCCTCCTTCGGACTCTTCTCGCAGAGCTGACACTTGAGCGCGGCCGCCTTGCTCTGCTGGTACCGGTCCACCACCCCCTCCAGAACCCGGTTCTTGGGGAAGCCGCGGAGTCCCCGGTCGTCCAGGATCAGGCTGCGGTGGCACTGCGGGCAGGTGATGCACGAGTTGCGGGGGATCGGGGGTAGGGAGGCCGGGTGCGGGAGGAGGAGGTGCTGCTGGGGGCCAGGCTGGGGGACGGTGGGGGGGAAAACCCGGACCCCGTTGGGTGATTTTTGGCACGGGGTTGTGGGGGCGCTGACGAAGCCCCCGTAGGAGCCGTAGCCGCTGTCGGACTCGCTGTACAGACTCATCTTGTCCAGGTCCAGGTAGTCATAGTCGGACACGGCGGAGCCGGAGGCTCGGCTGCTCTGCGGGGACTCAGCCTCCGGGGTCTGCACGAGAATGTTCCGCGCGCACGCCAGACAAATGTTGTGGGAGCAGGGCAGGATGATGGGCTCCCGGAAAAACGAGCCGCACACCGGACACTTCAGCTCCTCCTCCATCTCCTCCATGGCTGCTCAGACACACAACAGGAGCAGATCCTCCCCGGACCTGTCCTCCTGCAGATCCTGCTACAGACGGAGGAGAAGCATCAGCAGGAGGAGGCAGGAGCCCCCCCCCCCCTCCCCCTCCCTCCAATAGGAACACAGCATCCGCTCAGACTGCAAGACCATTGGACGAGCAGTGGATCCCAAACAGCTATTGGACAAGAGATCTGTCAGGTGAAGCTTCTTAACGAGCTTTGAGACAACACTGCGGGTTCTGTCCACTCCAACAGAACCGACACGAGCACTGACACTCATCTGGTGCACGCGGACAGACCACACGCACTCCTGTGTTCGTCCTATGGAGATAAATTACTCTCAAAAATCACACAAGCCTGTAACAAAATTTACTTTTTCAAATGCACAGATTTAAACTGCACAAGTAGAAATAAGTGCCAGCAAATGGTCAAATGCGCGCGCACGGATCAGCTGCCTGTTAATGTGACTTTAGAAACTTTCTTGTCACAAATTCACAAAGGCAATGCTGCGTTCAAGGCTGGTGGAAAGCTGGGACATTTGACAGTTATATTGAGTTGTTGGGAAAAGACACATTTTTTACTTGGCACAGTCACTACGCTTACATGGACGTTACTGGACTCCAGAATTTTGCTTTGATGGAATTATAT